GGGGGGGGGGGGGGGGGGGGGGGGGGGGGGGGGGGGGGAGGGGATGGTAGGATTTAACGGAACTACACATGGCGGTGATTTGCGTACATGAAAAGGCTGTTAATTCTCCGCGGTCTTCGATGGTGAAGCCATCGAGATCAAGACATGTAAATAAGGAGATAAAAATATTAAACATAAATTGTACTGGACCTATCAGTTTAGCACGGGAAGTCTTTTCATCTAATCACATTCATTTACAGACATCGCGAGTGAACGGTGGAGCGGAGAAGAAAGAATTGCAACTGGTGGATGAAGTTGGTGGAAATGATGGTAGTGATGAGCCGGAAGCCATGGAAACCGACTGCATTGTGCTGTCTGAGGAAGTAGCTGGTGATGACGAAAAAGAAGTAAAAAAGGAGGCTGAAACATCCCAGGAAGCGGAACATGCTGCAGCTTCGAAGGCTAAAACTGCTTCGAAGGAAATGGCTGCCGGTGCTGCTTCTGCTGCTGCAGGAGATGAAAAGAAATGAGCGTTATACAGTTCACTGTACTGGCATTTTTTGAATTTTGTGGCAAAAAAAGAAAAATGTGTTGTTATTTCCTATTTTGGCGCACCGGTTTTTTCAACCTTTCTCATTTGTCGTGCTTTTTGTGTTTCCGCTTCATCTGGATGTGTCTGCGGTCCTTGATTTATGTCCATCCTCATCCATGTTTTGTTATGCTCCTCCTTATCCACTCTCCTTCCTGTTTTTTTTTTTTTTGCGCCAAAGATAATTATGACACTTGAAGATTGTATTTTTGTGAAATGGCTGTAGAAGTTGAGCATTTTACTTGCAATTTTTTAGCTGAATTATCAGCTATTGTTAATTCATTGACTCTTAGATCATCCATCTTTTATTGTGCTTTTTCGGTTTATCGTTTTTCCAAAAATTTTCTAGTTAAGGGCAGTTATCTGAGTGAATATTTTTACAGGTTACATCGATTTTTTATGAAAATTGAGAAGGGAAGGCGGTGCATGAATTAGTAGTAGAATTTCGAGTGTTATGTGGCGATACCTCAGTAACGCTAGCGAAGTAGCATCATGCTGAATGCGCGTAAATGATGTGGTAGAAGCTTTTTGTGCTTTATTTCCCATGTAATTTTTTATTATTTTTTAATTTTTCAATATAATAGTGTTTTTTTT